GGAATTTTTAAATTATTTTTACAAATAAATATTTCATATAATTTCTGTTATTAGCAGTTTAGTTTAGTCTTATTTTTAATTCTATATGTACAAACTTGATGAAGTGATCTGTTCGAGAAGATTATAAATTAAATTAAAATCTAGTACATAATAAATAAATAATTGATATCTAATTTTCAATTAATTTTATCATTGTTATATAATTAACAACAAAACTTTTTATTTAACCTTAATTTTACACACGTAATATTAAATTACGTTTACCATGTTCGCCAGTAACCTTTAAATATGTTCTGTACTAACATTTATGTAAATAAAAATTATATTGACCGCTAGCTTCAGTAGGTACTGTTTTGCACGCGATTTTGAATAAAAATTATCCTGCACTGAAATTTTTATAAGAATCATACTGCACAAAAAATTCAAATAAGAACGATCTTGCTTTGTTATTTTAATAAGCATTACATGAATAGGAAGCGTCGATTTGTGTATTTTAACGATGAAATTTTTTTTTATTTTCGTTGAGATTTGAGACCTGTAGTGGGATTACGAATAGCGCTAGTCGCTATGTAGCGCTTTTCACTAATTAGGGTTAAAAAATTACATATTTTTAGTGAAATTTGTTCTAAATGCTGTCCAAAATAAAATAGCGTTGACGGTTTTTTAAAAACTTAAATTGCAAGATCGTAATTCCAAAGAGAATATAAACATAACCCCAATAGATAAGACCTTCCCGGCTGAAAAAACTTGTACAAGAAAATGTACAAGTTCTTGTACATGTTCATTAATAAACTTGTACATTTTCTTGTACATGTTCAAGTAATGTTCTTGAACAAGTTCAGCATCCGGGATTGAGAATAAACTTGGAATAAATAATGAAATACCGGAACCATAACTATAATATTTATTGTGACTTAATTCGAACAGGTTAATTATACTTATCATTTGTGGGTAGCATTTGCCAAGTTTTCACTGGCATATCGCCACTGGTATAGAAGTCGTGGTCACTGGGGATCAAATATGACACATAATAAATAAATAATATGTAACCCTATTGAAAATCCCCACATGGGACACCACATGGGAAACCACATGGGATCCTATGTCAAAACTATGTAAAACCCCAGTTCCATTAAGGAAACCATATGATTTCCCATGCAAATCCCCATTGGAAATCCTTTATAATTTTTTTTAATTTTCCCATGTCATTCCCCAAGTGAAATCCTTTATCCTTTTTTCTAAATTTCCTATGTCAAATCTCATGTCAATCCCCAAGTGAAATCCTTTATCATTTTTTTGAAAAATTTCACTAGGGGATTGGCATGGGATTTGAGATAGGAAAATTTTTTAAACAAATTTTAAAAAATTTCATTTGTGGATTGATATTGGAAAATTATACTAAATAATTAAAAAAGGATTTGACAGGGGAAATTTTTTTAAAAAAATGATAAAGGATTTCATTTGGGGATTGATATGGGAAAATTATACTAAATAATTTGAAAAAGGATTTAACGTTGGATATAATAAACCATGTTCTTGTTGTCGTAGAAAGTTGATCCAAAGTTTATTGGAAAGGGAATTTCAAAAGGATTCGAAAACCGTTTTAAAATTTCGTGGATCGCAATTAGCAAAAAGGTTATCGCGTTTTTTGTGCGACGCTGCGTGTTTCTAGCGTTAGCACGCAGAATGTTTTTTGCTCAAAAAGTATGGAAACTTGCAAATATTTCGAAAGTACGAATTTCTATAAAAAATGTTCAAGACAAAAGTTGTTCCTAACAAAAAGATCTACATTTGTGAACCCAAAACATTGGTTGTTTTTGTTAAATAAAATCCTCTAATTTTCAGAATCAAATTAGTAATCCCAATGAAATTATGTGTTTTAACGTGTGAAGTATATGACCAAAATATTGGTTTGAGGAGTCTTAGCTCTAGGCCTAATGCGAAAATTAGCTTCGAATTTTTAATATGTTACCCCAAAAACCCCATAAGCTGCGATTTTTTCAAACTCACTTATTTGAAGAAAACTGTTTAGTTCAATGTCTAGGATTGGGCCTAATAATTTGTGCATTTTTACCACATGTGTGAACGCAGAATTTTATGAGGATTAAGATTTCTATACGCAATATTAGTGGTCTCATTACAAAAGACTACTTTTTTTTGCTGTAAAGGCGCTTGCACACCTCCATCACCCTCTTACCACGCAGAAAACGTACAGGAGTAAGAGAGACAGAAAATTCAAATTTAAATCTACTGATTCTCTGATTGGATTTGGTGTGAGTGTGAGTGCGCCCTAAGGCCTCACATGGGGCCCCGGGCCCAATTTTTTTGGTTCAAAAATAGAGACGCATGAATATTTCCGAAATTATACTTGCCGGAATTTTCATTGTGTTTAATTAAAAATTATCGAATTTACACTTAGTAGAATTTTAGAAAAGTAGATTTCACAATGAGCCCAATTTTAATATCGAAAAATATCTATTTTAAAAAATTCTTATTTTATAGAATTTTTATTTAACTGAACTTTGATAAAGCAGATTTTCTAATATATCGAATTTTTAAAATAATAATACAATTTCCATTTAACAAAATTTATGGCTAGAATAATTTTTATAAAGAAGAATTTTTATTTATTAAAATTGTTTTTTTGTCAAATTTCTATTTAGCCTAGTATTCACTTAAAAGTATTTTTATTAAAAGAATTTCTATATAACAAAATTCCTATTTAACAAAACTTTTATTAGGAAATAATGCGAAAATTATCTTCAAATTTCTAATACGTTAAAAAAAAAGCTTTTAAGGGGTTACGCCACCCTGAACGCATGAAAATCGGATGGTTTTTTAGGAATTTTTTTGACAAAACTATTAGAGGTAGGACTTATTTACATTTATTGATGCTTTAATACATATATTAAGCTTTATAAATATTAAAAAAATGGTTTTTAATTAAAAATGGCGGAGATATAAGTATTGGCGTGGATCAATTTTTCCGGAGCACTCCTTGATGGTGTACCTGATTGGCAGTTCAATTTTTGTCTGAAACAAGTGAAACAATATTTTTCTTAAAAAGTGACAAATTTTGAACAGGGTAGCGATTATGTATTTTTATTTAACTTTGACGTCAAAGTCATTTTCATTTTGACTTCGTACCCAAGAAGCACGTAATATATCCTCAATATCAAGGTAATATTACACGTGAGATTCGTAATATAACGCTGTAATATTACAGTAATCTTACAGTGATCTTAAAATGTCCGCCTCAAGGTAATATTACCGGGTATATTACTGTAATATTAACGGTAATATTACAGTAATATTACAGACTGATTTGAGTTATTCATAAAGCATAAGAAACGTAAATATATTATAAGTCAATTTGGCTTTTTGGTAAAACTCTGGACTCGTGTGCTTAATATTAATATTACGGTATAATATTACTGCAATATTACTGTAATATTACCTTAATATTAGCGCGTAATATTACAGTAACATTACCGGTAATATTACCTTGAGGCGGACATTTTAAGATCACTGTAAGATTACTGTAATATTACAACGTTATATTACGAATCTTACATGTAATATTACCTTGATATTGAGGTTATATTACGTGCTTCTTGGGTAGTCAAATGTCATTTTTCGTAGTTTTACGTAAAATAATTGTTTTGATTTGTCAAATTGTAATATCCACAATTTATTTAGGAATTAAATTATAAAAAAGTAAAGTAAGTAATTTTAAACAGTTAAAAAAGCGGTATAATTAAGGAATTTTTAAAAGATTAATAATTAGGTTAAAATTATTTAATAACAAATTATTTCATCTGTCAACGGTAAGTATTGTTTAATGTTGAAATCAGGGATATGTTATAATTGTTTTGAATAATGCCTTACTTTCATTTTTTATAAATGTATAGTCAGAATAAAATAAACTAAAATATCAAAAACTAAAGAAGAAATTATGTCTTTTAAAAGATAATTCAAAACATAAAAAATGACTTACATTTGACGTATGAAATATTTTTTTCCTAAAATAATTTGAACTTAAATTAGTTTCCTACTGTTTTGAACAAATTGACATTTTGTACATAATTTATTGATGTAATTTAAAATAGAAAATGCTCAACATAAATTATTATTAAAATTACTCATTTTTTGGCATTATGTAATTGCAATTAATTCCTAAACATAAATTCAGTAACGAGACTGTTATTTATATTTGTGTAAATAAAAATTAACGATTAATTTTATTTAAACTGTAATTAATTATATATAAATAGTAATATTTAAATAATTCTTTCAATATTTCCTCTTAACATATGTGAATGAATAAATAAATAAAATAATATATTAATGTTTTAATTATATTTCATAAATTAAAGTTTTTTTAACCTCTTACTTTTACTTAGTTTGTTAAAGTTATAAAAGTTTTTTTTTAAATCCTTGTTATGCTGTCTTGATCTTTTTAAAATTACTTACTTCACTTTTTCATCATTTAATTCCTAAATAAAGTTTTTATTCTTAAATTTTTAATAAAATGAAAAAAGTAATTATACTTCAAAATTGTGGTTATTACAATTTGACAAATCAAAACAATCATTTTACGTAAAACTATGTAAAATGACATTTGACTACGAAGACAAAATGAAAATGACTTTGACGCCCAAGGTAAATCAAAATACATAATCGCTACCCAGAGTGACGAAGCCATTTTAAAAAAAAATTTTTTTACACAAATGGAAGCACTTCAAAAATTGACTTTTTTTGGGCTAAAAGTACCGTATAAAAAATTGGATAAAAAGAATGTCCTCTGATCTGAAAATGGAAAGTCGTTAAGGAGGCGCTAGACGGCTTCTAGCAGCTCTCGGCGCATCCCTACACAGATAGTCATCACCTTTTAAAATTGTACGCATGCTTGTTCTATCTTTGTCGCTCTTGCAGTGAAATTGAAGTGAGATATCAGACTCCACGGAGTGTTTTTTCCTCCGTGGTTTTTTCGTGATTATTTCTATGTTCTAAGAATTTCATTAAAAGATAATAATGGCATGTCAAATACCAGGGTGTACTACCAAATACTTGGATAAAAATAACAAGCTGCAAATGTTTACAGCTGATGGGGTAAGTATGGATATATAAATTTAAATATATATTGAAAGAAAGTACTCATAAAATAACCTCAAAAAGTTTTCGTATGCATGAATGCTTGCCGGTAGAAATTGTTGTAAAACTGCGTAAATAATTAACTTCTTTAAACAGAAAATGTATGATAATGAAAGTGTTATATAATTCTTCTCTTTAAAGGTAATAATATTCTTTAAAAAAGTAATATATGTTAGAAGCGATTTTGTCAACATTTTATTTAGATACACTTGTTAAAAGAAGTTTAATTTTTAATCTTTATTGAGTAGTTATGTAAATTTAATGTTTTTACAGAAAGAAACTTTACTTAGTTGGAAAGAAATTCTAAAAAGGAAATACGGAATCGAAAATTTTGGCGCAAGTAGTCGAATATGCATGTTGCCGAAAGTGCGATTGAAAGAACGTATAAAAAATACTATAAAGGTGGTTCATTTAAAGAAGTAGCATTAAAGAAACCTATGTTATGCTTCGGAGCCATTCCTACAATTTTCCCCAGCAAAATTCCGAGGAAAAAGCAAGAATATGCTGTTAAAATTGTTAATGCAGAAATCTCAAATGAACAAAGAAATGTATTTGCAGAAAATAGGAATGAGACACGAAAAAGGAAACTTGAAAGTGAATCTGTTTTGGAAGGAGAAACACCAGAAAAGCAGCTTCAACTGAAAAATACTTTACATTCAAAAATCGTTGATGATTTTGTGAATGGTGTTAGATTATTACAAAATTCAAATTGGAGTCAAGCAATTAATTCTGAGAAAGAAGTCGTTTGGTCAATGTGGAAGGAAGATCGGTCATGTACGTTGAAGAATATAATTCTTCGTCCAAATTTAACAGCAAGCGTAAGTATTTATAATTAATAATACAATTGTTATAATGCATATTTGAAAGTAAGAAATAAAAATATAATTTATTTTCTTTTTATATAAGGTCTTCATAGAATTAAAAGAAATCATCCTGCCCGAAACCAAAAAATATTGCAGTCGTCAGTACATGTATTCTATAATACGTCCATCTTGATTTTCGTTAGAACCTTGAACCAGCAAAGGTTGTGTATCGTTATAAAAAAAGTTGTCCTCTTCAAAAAAAAGTAGACATTTTTCCGTATGCGAACAATATATAAACATTTTAAAAACAACACTTTTCCACTTGGTATGTATGTGAATTTTGTTTATATATTTTATAGTTTATACATAATTACTTTATTATTCCTAAATTTTATATGGAATTTGTGTTATACAAAATAATATTTCTTGAAGTATATTTTATCCTTTAAAAAAAGAAAGAATAACTCAATTACTAACCTCTTTTAATTGTTATCAGCAACCCAGTAAAAAATAAAAGATACAAAAAAAGTGGATTCCGGTTACAAGCTCAATAGCTGGTAAACGAATCCGTGAGAATCTCGGATACAAGCACTTTTCCGTATCCGAAATGCTTATAAGTTTGTAAACGCACTGAAACGAACTTTTGTAGGACTTTTAATCAAGAAAAACAAGTAAATGAATGCAGAAACGTTGGGAAATTAAATCAGAAGCAAAAATAAATAATTATTTATTAAAGAAACGTACCCTGGCGGATTTGATTTACCTAAATTCGACCCAGCTGGGGCGAATCTAAGTCGAATTTAGGTAATTATCAAAAAGAAGCTATAAATTGATGAAAATTTATAAAAATTAGTATTGTGAGGTTAAATGAACATTTATAGAGTTAATTTTTGTAAGAATTTTAATTATTAATGTGATAAATAATAAATAATCACTTGATATGTGCAAGTAGTAACTGTAGATTTTAACTCGATGTCAGTTTTCATAATATTTTCAAGAAATTAGTGTAGAATGTGTGAAAAAATAATTTATATTTAATAGAAATTGCAAATTTTATTAAATTATTTTATTATTTATTGAGCACAGTTTAAAATACTTGAAATTTAATTTAAAAAAAAAGTTTTCTTAAAAGTGATAAGAACTCTAGTATACCGACAGCAAGATGATATTTTCAGGTAAGTATAGTTATTGTAGCGTGTAGTTTTGTTGTGACTAAAAGATGTCGCTTTAGTTTCTATAGTAATGAATATTCATGAATATTTGATCATGAGATTCGATGTTCCTGTCTTATCACTATAGAAACTAAAGCAAAATCTTTTAGTCACAACAAAACTACACGCTACAATAACTTTACTTACCTGAAAATATCCTCTTGCTGTCGGTATAGTAGAGTTCTTATCATTTTTAAGAAAACTTTTTTTTAAAATTAAATTGCAATTATTTTAAAATGTGCTCGATAAATAATAAAATAATTTAATAAAATTTGCAATTTCTATTAAATATAAATTATTTTTTCACACATTTTACACTAATTTCTTGAAAATATTATGAAAACTGACAACGAGTTAAAATCTACAGTTACCACTTGAACATATCAAGTGATTATTTATTATTTATCACATTAATAATTAAAATTCTTACAAAAATTAACTCTATAAATGTTCATTTAACCTCACAATACTAATTTTTATAAATTTTCATCAATTTAAAGCTTTTTTATAATTACCTAAATTCGACTTAGATTCGACTTAGATTCGCCCTAGCTGTGTTTAATTTAGGTAAATCAAATCCGCCAGGGTACACTTAAACAAAAAACAATTATTCTTACTAATTCTAACTTCTGCATTAAAAACATTGTGAAAGCAGTGCTTTGTTGGTGATTTTACCTTGTTATTCGGGAAATATGGTTTTCTATCTTACCGACATTGGATATTAATTTAACGCGGTTTTTTCGATTTTCTTATTTCAAAAGCAACTCAAAATAATCAAAATGTTATTAAACATAATTAAGTGCTTATTTTTAATTTCCTTTACCACTTTTTATTAAATAATTTTGGATTTCTATTGAAATTGAAAATTCGACAAAACCTGCGTTAAATTAATATCCAATGTCGGTAAGGTAGACAACCATATTTTCCCAATAACAAGGTAAAATTACCAAGAAAACACTGTTTTCCCAATATTTTTAACGCAGGGGTTAGAATTAGTAAGAATAATTTGCTTTTTGTTTTAATGTATGTTTCTTTAATAAAGAATCATTTATTTTTGCTACTAATTTCATTTCCCATCGTTTCTGGATCCATTTAATTGCTTTTTCTTGATTAACAGCTTTACAAAAGTTTTCCGTTTCAGTGCGTTTACAAGCTTTACATCATTTCGGATACCGAAAACTGCTCGTATCCGAGATTCTCACGGATTCCTTTACCAGCTATTGATCTTGTAACCGGAATCCGCAGTTCTTGCATCTTTTATTAATTGATTGAAATCTGAATAAATATTATTAAAATTAAAATTATTAAATTTTAATTAATAAATTAATTAAATTAATAATAAATAAATAATTAAATAAATTATAATCGACATTAGGAAATTATTTTTAAAAATAATTTCAATGAAATTGCCTAACAACCAATAAATTATTAAAAAGTCTTAACACGAACATAACCTTTAAATTGAAGTCATTTTTGGCGGAAACTCCACCTTCACTTGCGGCTATATTGAAAGTCTTGAAATTTACATAACCTTAAAATTTATGTCATTTTTGGCAGGAAATACAGAGAGAGATGAGGAAAGGGGGAAGGACTTACTGCTTTATTAGGGTCTTAAAACAATCATAACCTCAAAATTTAGGTCAATTTTTGGCGGAGGAGGGGAAATGAAAGGAGGGAAGGGGGACTTGTGGCTATATTCAGAGCCTTGAAACGAACATAACCTCAAAATTTAAGTCATTTCTAAAGGAGGGGCGAAATGAGAGGAGGGAGGGGGACTTGCGGCTATATTCAGAGCCTTGAAACGAACATAACCTCAAAATTTAGGTCATTTCTGTCGGGGGAGGGGAGGGGACTTGCGGCTATATTCAGAGTCTTGAAACTAACATAACCTTAAAATTTAGGTCATTTTTTACGGTGGAGGGGAAATGAGAGGAGGGAGGGGGACTTGCGGCTATATTCAGTCTTGAAACGAACATAGCCTTAAAATTTAGGTCATTTCTGTCGGGGGATTGGAGGGGACTTGCGGCTATATTCAGAGCCTTGAAACGAACATAACCTCAAAATTTAGAAGGGTTTGTTCCCCCCTCCTAGGTTAAGAATTCTTGAAACAGTGGCGGCGGAGGCGGCGGCGATATCTTTTTGTAATATAGGAAGATATATATATATATATATATATTTAATTTTTCAAAGCAATATTTTTTTTGATTAGGTTTGCAAACATGTCACCAAAAAACACCAAAATTGAAGTAAAAAGCTCTCAATTGTTTGAATTTTTTAGTGATTCAAATGAAAATGATCAACTGAAAGAAATCGATTTAGCACCAAAATGTTGGATTTTCGCTAAAGGAAATCAAATTTATACTAAATTATTTATGTCTCCTCTGTATGATAGTGAAAAAAGGAAGTTTTTAAATCAACTAATTTTACATCAGTCATCGGCACCGGATGAGTGGCCAGGTTACCTTATTACGCTGCGTGGACATGCTTGTAAGTATATTGTTTTTCTCAATATGAATGATGTCATTTTATTTGAGAAAAAGCTTTTAAATGATAAAAATGTAATTAACAGTTTTTAATGATTTGGTCATTAAATAACAAATAATAATCACAATGGAAAAAATTATTTGATTATCTTTATTATTATATATTTATTATTTAGCGTCATACAGAGAAGCTTTAAGAAAGTTTAATAATATTTTGACTCAAGATAAATATTGTTAGACGACAGCAAACGAGTCAATAGCGCAAAAGAATAGCTAAAGAAATCTCCAATGCTGTAAGGTAAAAAATATAATATTTCAGAAAAAACAAAAATTGTTATGGCGGTAACAAGTCTAGACGAACCGATCTTAGAAAATATTAATTTAATAGATGTAGACAACAATAACAGAATCGAGTCTGTTCCACAACAAGAAAAAAAATTTCCTCTTGGTAAAATAAAATTTATTTACGTTATTTATAATTTGTTTATTTTAATTTATAATTAAAAAGTATTAAATAATTATTTACTTTAACAGTTTATTATTTAGAAGATATCAATTCGTAATAATAAATTAGATATTCAAAAAGAAAAGAGAAAAAAGATTTCTAATCCAGGTAAGAAATTGTCATATAAACTCTTTTTCATTGTCAAAAGTTTAAAACTTATAACTAAAAATTTTCATTAATTTAAACAAATTATTTTTACTTTTAACAGGAACTTCCTATATGAGTATCACGGATATCGAAGATTCTGATCCAGAAATTTTCCAACCGAAGAAAAACTTTTGTCAAACAAATATAAGAAAAGAACCAGGTAAAAAATTTATTTTCAAATATACACTTTAGATCATAAAAGTTTTATACATGTAATAAAAATTATTTACATTTTAACAGAAACAATTATAAACGACCCTTCTCCTGATTACATGCATATGGAAATCGACGATCCTTTTAACTCATCAAATGCTTCGAGTTCCGCTGTAGAGTATTGACTAAGCTATACAAAAAACCGTATCAAAGGTATAAATAATAATTTACTACTGTTTATTTCTAAATTGTGTTTACTGTTTTTTTAAAGGATAATATTTAAAATAATTAAAAATTTTAATTATTATATATAATAGTAAATTTAATTGATTCGATTTACATAAATTTTAGATTCTTTTCCAACAAATGAAAAAAGTTTACTTGAAACTTCAACAAAAAAAGTAAACCTTGATCTGCCAACTAATATGAAAATTTGTAAATATAATAAAAGAAAAATAATTTCATTCATCAACAATTTACAACTGAAAATTTATTTTATGAGTTCGAAAACAATCTGGACGGATTGAATATTTAAAGTCTCAATAAGAATTGTTCAGTCCCGCAAATTCATGATTTTGCACAGGAAAATAATATTCCTGAGCCATATCAAGAAATGGAAAATTTTATTGAGTTCGACAATAAATTAAAAGAGGAAAATTTTTGAAGAAGTTTTGTGAGTAATTTACGAGCGTTAAAGCATTATTTGATTTTGACCATTATTAATCTTTAAATGTATATTATTATTTTCTAATTACTATAATTACTATATAATTATTTTAAAAAATTTAATTCTACATATTATCATTACCAATTAACTACGATCCAGTAATGGATGTTTAAAAGAGTATAACAAATATTATTAAAAAATATCTGTCAAAGAAGGTTGCACTGCAGTTTGTGACAATGAAGCGAACAGAAAATAAAAAGATTTTTAAAGACACGCAACTGTACTCCTGCATTCTCGGTAATAATTAATGGTTATTTCAATTTTAAGGGCCTAAAGCTCTGAACTTTTAAGTTGACGAAATAATTATTTTGGTCTATATTTTTTTTTTTAAAATACTGAGGCGAAAAAATGTTTCGTCCATTTAAACGATCAGAACTTCAGGCACATTACATAGTAGCTCTATTACAAAAAAATTATAGTAGCAAATGATATTAATGTCTTATTATTATATTATATAGTAAATCGAATTTGTATGCAATAAAATATTTGTTACAGCTGCTGTCATTGTCTCCCACAAAAAAAAGAAACATTGGGGGCCTTTGACAAAAAAGCATATACTATCTGAATTAAGCTTAATTTTACCCAACGCCAAAGATTGGGAAGGGTGGACGGACTCTTTGCACAAAAAACAATAAAATTCAATTCTATTAATTGTAGAAAGTGCCTTTAATTTGATATTTTTTTCAAAAAACAGAAAAAATCATCTTTTTTAGATCAGTAGTAATTTTAATTTAAAAAATCCATATTTATATCATATTATTATTATGTATTTAATATATAACAGTATTTATCATATTTTTAATAATTGAATTAAATTACAAAAGGGCTTGTCCCGTCAGCTTATTAAATAAAATAAAAAAAATAAAAAAATTTTACTTTACAAATTTGTATATTGTAATTAATAAATACTATATAAGTAATTAATAAAAAATGTTATATTTTCTTCAATCTTATAATTGTCTAGATTTGTATACAAATTTACATAGTAATAAAATTTATTAAGTATGAAAATTTTAGAAAAGTATTTTTGAATATTTTACATATGGGATGTTCCACGTCAAGCGGACCAAAGCTCTGCCCAAAATTGCACGCAATATAAATAAACTTATAATATATAAAAATGTTCGTACACATGTAAACATTCAAAAAATGAGTGACAAATTAAAAAATTTATAATAATGCTTTTGTTATAACAATTATAAACCATCTTAAATGGAAATGCGTAAGTAAAAAAATGTCTCATTTAAAGACAAAAATTTTAAAATCTAAAGTCATAGTTGTTTTTAATGTTTTCAGGGTCGCTGATTACGAATCTGATGTCACAATTAAAAAATTCAAAATGGCGGATCCAATATGGCGGCCGAATTTTAAAAAATCGTCTAATTCTCTTAAAACTTGTTACTCGGGGGTTCTCGGGGTCGCTGATTACAAGTTTTGATGTCAGAATTGAAAAATTCAAAATGGCGGATTTAATATGGCGGACGAATTTTAAAAAAATCGTCCAATTCGCTTAAAACTTATTACTCGGGGGTTTTCGGGGTCGCTGATTACGAATTTGATGTCCAAAAATAAGAAATTTAAAATAGCGGACCTAATAGGGCGGAAGATTATTAAAAAAAACTATTAGAAATGTTTAAAACTTGTTACTCTGGAGCTTTTTAAGTTGCTGGTCATGAATTTGTCACGAGAGATGAAAGAAAAGAAAATATTAATAAAAAGATCATTTGTATGGATCTTGTAAACTATAGGGTTTCGTATTCAAAATATTTTTTGCAGTTACTCATTACTACTCTAGTATTGGATAACTGCGAGTGGTATGGTTGCATTTGAGTACCTAAATACTACTAGCTTCTTGTATGAAGTAACTATGAATGAGTGTGCTGATTGGATTTTTATAACTGAAGGAGCTTTGAAAAATCTTTTATTTAATGAACGCTTAATTTTTTCATGTTCTTGTTTTGTGTAATAGATAAATCGTGTCGTTTTAATGTGCTCTTTAACCCATGTAAATAAACTAGTGGCATTCAAAATAGCATTTTCTGGCTTAGCTTGTAAGCTAGCTCGAGTGGCTTTTCTCTTTAAAACTGCTCCTATGCCATCGCATGCTCCTTTTCCATGAGCGGTTGCATGGAAATGCCACCCTGCCAGAACATTAAAATCATCTTCGTGATGAACTAAATTCATCATTTGAAATTTATTTTTATAATGCTGTTTAGCACCATCAGTAAAAATTATTATTTTTTTAACATTTGTGCAAACTTTTTTAATGTCTGCAATACCTTTTAGTTGCAGTATGTAGACTGCTGCAGTATCATGCGTAGTATATTCGGATAGCAAGACAATACTGCAATGCTTTAATTCACCATTTTCTTTATAATAAAAAATTGCAGGATGCAATCCATTGGTCATTATTATAATGAAAACCTTGTACAGCATCTTGTACAACATAGGCGTAGTTTTCAGAAAAATCACACTGTAGTAACACTTCGCCTTCTTGGAGATTTCAACTTGAAATTTTGATGAATCACACACACACACACAGACGCTTTGTGTACCTGCTGATCCTGCGCAGACACAATTTTTGGGTCGCAATTCAGCAAATTTCGACAAGCCAATTGGAAATTCAGGATACTGCTCCTTAAATTGATTATGCAACACTTTAATGTCTACAAGCAAAAGTCTTTTTTGTAGTATCATTTTTTTCCATTCACTTTAGCGGAAACAGTATCCTTTTTACCTGGCATAATACGACTATTCTGATCACACTCGTAATAATCTTTAACTTTATCAATTGTTTCCTCAGGTAGTGTTTTACCAAGTTTTGATTCAGGTGTTGCCAAAACTCCACCATTCTTTCTCAAATGTTTGGCTTTCCTTGCTTGTCTCTCTGAAGTACCAAACTCTGACAGAATGTGTCGTACAGTCCATCATTCAGGAGAAATTGGCAGTATAGACATACGTAAAGGATCGTTCATTGGTAAAGAAGAAAATTTATCCTTTAGCCCCGTTAAAAGTTGCTCTAATTGTTCTTCTCTTGACAAACATTTCCGTTTACTCTCTGGCTCTTCTGTCAATGAATTATCAAAATCACTAGTGACAAGACTTTTATTACATAATTTACGACATTGAGAGCAAATTCTTGCATTTTCTGGTACCTGAGGAAATTGTTTTAATAATGTCTTTGACATTATCCTTAAATCTGAACCTTTGTAATTTTCACGGTTTAAGGAGTTAATGCATCTATCTACATGAAGCAGATAGTTAGAAATTTTCTTTTCACAGCCTGACATGATGGAAATGATAATTTTGAAATTTAACAATTTCGAAAAGAAAGGAAGAACTTTCAATGCAAAATTGAAAAAACTTACCTTTTGACAATTAAAATAAAAATGGCAGAAGAAAGTCGCTGAAGATAAACAAAAAAAGAACTAAAAATAGGAAAGAAAGTATCAGAAGAAGGAAGAACAGAAAGAGAAGAATAAAACAATGATTTGAAAAAATGACTGGAGAAAAAATGTAGAGATGAAAATGAAAAGTTTAAAAAAAATTTAAAAAGATATGACAGAGAAAAAAACGAAAATTAGAAGGAAAAATGGAAAGGAATAGCTCTGAAAAGAACTGATTTTGTTATGTTTGAAATGCACAAGAATACCTACCTGCAAAAGTACACGAAAAATTCGTAATATTTCTGTATAGAAAGTCTCTCGTATTTATACGTTTCACAACGCATCTCGTTGATGAGAGAAGTTACCTCATTTACGATTGCGCTACCATGCGGAAAATATAGAAAACGCGGCTCTTTAATGAAGGAATCTACCTTATGTACGATTTCGCCACCTCGCGGACAAAATAAGAGTTATATATTAAGAGCGCGAATATTTAAATTTGACGAAATCTTTACAAATAATAAAAAGCAAAATTATGTTAAATTATTAAATAGAAATTAATTCAAAATAATTAAAAAATTAAGTGATAAATAAAAATCACAATTTTCACAAACTAAACTGGTTCTTAAAATTATATGTTAGACTTTTCATTTTCAAGAATTTCTTGTGAAATAATTTTCTTTTAGAGCAATTTTTATAACTCCAAATTATTATTAGAAACAATTTTCATTAAACAGTTTTTCTACATTATAGAATAATAATAATTCGGGCAAATGAAAATTCTACACAAAAAAAATTATTTTAATCAAACATAAAAGTACTTATCATTCAAATGTTTTTGCTTCCTCGTGGAGGAAGCTTTGCAGTCTTTTCGTTTATAAAATTTTTAAAAATGGTAAACATTTTTTTTAATTGAAAAATTTTTAAATAGAAAAATTTAAGGTAATATATAATATAATCGTTTTTCTTACGTCAAGACGAATCGATTGGTATATACAAAGTATAGATTCGATTGAAATTTAAAGAATTAATATAAGTTAAAAAATCAAAATTTCACAATTTAGCTAAAAAATTTTGTGCTTTTTAAATTCAAGTTAATAAATAAAATAATTTAATTCCTTGCATTGAAACGAATCGATTCGTATATATAGTATAAAGTATATGTTACACCCAAAATAAATTGAAATTTTCTTACTTTTCCAAAAATTTTTATTAATTTAAATCAATTTTTAACTCGAAATATTTTAATTTAATCAATTGAATTAGAGAAATTCATAGCTTCCTCCACGAGGAAGCAAATTTTTGCTTTACACAAGGAGGAAGCAAAATGTTTATGAAATAAACATAAAGGACCCCCTCTTTGTTTAAGTTTCAACATAATCAATGTCTTATTTCTGACATCAGATTCTTAATCAGCGACCCCGAAAACCCCCGAGTAATAAGTTTCAAACGAATTAATCGATTTTTTTAACATTCGGCTGCCATATTAAATCCGCCATTTTGAATTTTTCAATTCTGACATCAGATTTGTAATCAGCGACCCCGAAAACCCCCGAGTAACAAGTTTCAAACGAATTAAACGATTTTTCTAAAATTCGGCCGCCATATTGGATCCGCCATTTTTAATTTTTCAATTTTGACATCACATTCGTAATCAGCGACCCCGAAAACCCCCGAGTAACAAGTTTCTAACGAATTGGACGATTTTTTAAAATTCGGCCGCCATATTGGATGCGCCATTTTGAATTTTTTAATTGTGACATCAGATTCGTAATCAGCGACCCTGAAAACATTAAAAACAACTATGACTTTAGATTTTAAAATTTTTGTCTTTAAATGAGACATTTCTTTACTTACGCATTTCCATTTATGATGGTTTATAATTGTTATAACAAAAGCATTATTATAAATTTTTTAATTTGTCACTCATTTTTTGAATGTTTACATGTGTACGAACATTTTTATATATTATAAGTTTATTTATATTGCGTGCAATTTTGGGCAGAGCTTTGGTCCGCTTGACGTGGAACATCCCATATTTATTTTAAAAATTTAGCTAATGTTTAAATGATTAAAGTCGAACTTAAAGTAAGAATGTTTAGTATTTTGACTTAACGTTTTGTATTCAATTTTTTTTCAAAAGACAGTTTTTTAAACCTTCCAAGAAACTAAATATTCAATTCTAAACATTTAATAGTAAAGAAAAGTTAATGTTATGATATCAATTTTTATCAACTAATATTAAATAATTTTTACTAATAATACATAATAATGTATTTACATAATTGTTAAAAAATTATAGGACTTATAATACATTATTTTACGACATTTTAATTTCATTTTTTCATTACCTTTGATTTTGATTTTTTTGTTGGTATTAAAAATCTCACCTTTTGATTTTTCGAATAATAAATTATTTGATATTTAATTTTTGTAAAATTATTCTTACTTAATTACTAGAAAAAGATTTCCATTTTTTGAGTGTAGCGTGTTTTTAATTTTTTTATGGTTGTCAATTACTGAAATTTTTTTTCAAAATTTCCTGCTATTATATTGACAAATGACAATCAAGATAGACTCGTATTGGTTATGTTAAATGTTTATAAACTGTTTTTTACTGAGATAACCTTAAAATACCCAGTAAAAAAAAAGAATTTGGAGTAAGCGAAAAGAATTGGTGGTAACTTAAGCTGAATTCGGTTTGGTGAAAAAACCGAATTGGAACGTTACGGTGAATTATTTTTTTCTTACTGTGAATTCTTTTCTCTTGAACATTTGAATTGATGTTTGTTTATTCGTGTTTGAATTATAAATGAATAAAATAAATGTTTCAAAGTCTAAAAAAGCCGATTTGGAATAAGAAATATATAATTTTTTTAAAAGAAATAAAAGTGAAATGTGACAGATTTACCGACAATTTTATCATGTGAGTAGTACTCATATGGTAAATTTATCATATGAACACTACTCACTTGATGAAATTGTCGGTGAATCTGTCACACTTCGCTTTTATTTCTTTTTAAAAAATTATATATTTCTTATTCCAAATCGGCTTTTTTAGACTTCGAAACATTTATTTTATTCATTTATAATGTAAACTCGAATAAACAAACGTCAATTTAAATGTTCAAAAGAAAAGAATTCATAGTAAGAAAAAATAATTTACCGTAACGTTCCAATTCGGTTTTTTCGCCAAACCGAATTCAGTTTAAGTTACCACCAATTCTTTTCGCTTACTCCCAATTCTTTTTTTTTTTAGTGGGTATCCATTCTAACACTATGTGCGTATAATATTTAAATACTATAATGGTAACCTCATTATCAATTAATTTTCAACAAAATTACTCGTGAGGGCTGAGCGTCACACAAAAACCCAGGGCCCTATTCTTTGTAACAGCATTTTTAAACATCGAACATTGTATTATTTTAATTTAAATATAATCAAGCCTTATACTCCATTGGCAAAAAGAATAAATCGAATTCGATCATAAAATCGTTTATATATGAAGAGAGTTAACAATACCAATGCAGATGCTTCCCTGTGACTCGTCTGACCGATTTCGGAGTGAAACTACTCACAATGTACGATTATTTTATGAAACTGATCCCTTACATGCGAGTTTTCTCTCCTCACAGGAGGTAACACGGCTCGCATCCAAACCACCTGTGCTAGAAAACTTGAACGTCACTCTGAGTTATATGCAGTAAATAATATAAATATGTTCAATGTTATTATATTTACGGAGGTGAGCAAGTAACCGAGTCCTAGGAGGGCGACTATCAGACAGCGATGGAAGATTGTTTCTTTTACAAGAAAATTTACATGTTCTGCAGCTAAAGTTGTACCATTTCTGGTGAGAAAATATATAGGGTGTTCAAAAAGTATGGAAACTTGCAAATATCTTGAAAAGTATGCATTTTCGTGAAAAATAATCAACACAAAAGTTGTTCCCAACAAAAAGATCTACATTTTTGAACCCAAAAAATTGGGCACAAGACCTAACACTGAAAAAAAGACGTATCACAAAAAGGGGTGCTTTTCAAGATATTTGAAAGTTTTCATACTTTTTGAACACCCTGTATACAAGAGAATGTACAATATTGGCACCAGAATTTAGAACAAGTTCTTGTATCACAACTTGTACAAGATCTTTTACAAGAAAATATATTTAATATTTGTACACAAGAAAATGTTGTTGTACATATTCTTGTCCAGGTTTATTTATGTCTTCGTTTAGTAGAAATTAAATACTTTGAAGGCTGCATAGTAGTTTTCTTTAGGATTTTACAGCTGCGCAATAATTTTTAGCATTCATAAGTAAAGAGTTTTAATGATTATAAATTATTAAAATCTCAACATTGTTTTTCAATGAACTTGTACAAGAACATAAACGGTTTTATTTGTAAGTACTTGTATATGAACCTGCACAATAATATGTACAAGAACATGTACATTTTCTTGAATACAAATATTAAATATATTTTCTTGTACAAGTTCTGATGTAAGAACTTGTTCCAAATTTAAGTGCCAAAATTGTACATTTTTTTGTACATGTTCTTAACAAAACTGGTACAAATTGATCTGCTGAACATGTACAGGGATTTTCTTGTACAGGGATTTTTAACAGAGCTGTGGAAACGACGAGAGATTCTTCTTCGCGCAACGCGATTCTCATGACCGTAAAAGAGATAAAAATTTCCACAGTAGTAAAGACCAAGTTCTTTTTGTATTGACCGATAAAAAATTAACAACGCAAACGGGAAGAGAAATAAAAAATGAAAAAAGAATTATTATCAATAGTGGGTTTTTCCTCTAAGGATAGTAGAGTAAGTTATACCTGTATACAAATAACAAAGACTTGAGCAAAAAGGATATGGTGTACAAATTGTTCTGTGGAAAAACATTTTTTCCTCTTTGTTTTAAAATTTTTTCTTATACTAAACTTTCGGAAAACCTGTTTTCCTTCTCATTTCGTAAAAATGTATTATTTCTTATGTTTACAGTGTAATTATAAGTAAAAATTACTTTTTCTAGTCTCCTGAAAGCTGCAGAAGAAATTCATCTTCCAATGTCCTTGCGACAGGAATTTGGAGGTGGTTTAAAAGAATTTGTAGGTTCAATGGCATCTTGCTTTGAAAGAAGTAGTGATGAATTGCAGTTCTTTACTACACAGGAAAGACAGTCTCTTGTTTTACATATTTTGCATTCTTTGCGAGCCAGTCCAAAGGATATTTGCAACGTGCCTAGTCTGAAACTGGTTGAAGGTCAAGCTATTATTCCAAAATGTTTATCAACAGGCATAATATCCCAGGTAATTATTTTTATACTTTATTACTTCTAGCGAATTCTTTAGAGGAGTTACACTTAGTATCTGTAAGATTATGATATTTAACCTATACCATAACTACTTTAACTTATACTATACGAATTGTAAGGTTACGCGATATATTAGTGGTAGAGTTAAGGTGAAGTCAAGTCTTCTGCCATGTAGGCGACGTTACATGTAAAGAATGTGTGGTAAGCATACATGAAACGCTTATGGGGTTAGTACCACATCTCAGTGTCTTTTCTTAAACATTTCTTTATTACAAAATTTATTTTTTTACTTCAAACATTTTCCTGGTAAAAAAGTCGGATTGATTTCGCATAAAATTCGGAGAGATTAGACTAGATAAGTGGGAAAACTACAAAATAATTACGCAAGTGATCCATATTAGTTTGAAATCAGACTGAACAAAACCAAATCCAAAATCGGACTGCAATAATCTGGTCTGACTATGAAATCAGAACCGCAATCAGTCCGAAACAAATCCGAAAAAAACTAATCAGCAATTAATAAGGAAAAATGCGAACATTGTATGAGATAAATAAGAAAATAATCCGCTTCATTTCGAATTCAGTACGTACAAAAAACTTAACCTGACATAATAGTGAAATAATATAGAAATTGTATTCACAATATGCGCAAGCGTTCCGCAACAATCCGAAATTATTTTAAATCAAAAATACAAGTTCAAAATGAGAACGGAACAATTCGAATTTAGTACGTGAAAAATTCGATTTCTGTATGCATCAATCTGAAATTAGTATGGTGAATTCTTATGCCGAAGTTACTTGCAAAATATTCGAAATCAGTATGCATAGAATCCGTTGTTGGTCTGAAACGATCCAATTTTAATATGAGTAAAATACAGTAACGAGTCATAACTCCGAAATAAATTGGAAATTGTACATAATCTATCCGCAAACAGTAATGAAAACTACGAATTTAGTTCAATTAAATATCTTAATACAAATTGAGTATGAAACAATCCGCATCTAGTATGTTCAGAATCTGAGTTTAGTCCGCCTAAATCCGCAATTAGTCTGCTAAAGTCATATTCCGAAGTTACTTAGAAATAATCCAAAATTAGTAACGAATTATTTTCGTACTTGACCGGACTAATCCCTTATCTAATAGTTTTATACAGCCCGAATAATTCCAGATTAAGTCGTACTAATTTTGTATTCGCAACTTATATTAAACCTTATTGATTTCAGCTTTAACCGGACTTATTCCGGATTACTTAAACTTGATTATAAATGAGATTATTTTGCAATAATTCTGGATGTAAAAGTAAAGAATCTAATTATTTTCGTACTTGACCGAACTAAACCATTATTCAATAGTTGCATACAATCGGACTAATTCCAGATTGGGTCAAACTGATTCCGGATTCACTACTTACACTTAAACCGTATTGCTTTCAGACAGAGTCGGACTTATTCCAGATGACTTAAACTTGACCACAAATCGGATTATTATCCCTTATTCAATAGTTTTATGCAACCTGACTAATTTGGGATTAACTCGTACTAATTCTGGATTTGCATCTTTATACTTAAACCGCATTGCTTTCAAACATAGTCGGACTTATTCCGGATGACCTGAACTTGACTATAATTCGGAGTATTTCGAAATAATTGCGGACTTTATAGTAAAAAAACAAATTATTTCCATACCTGCCCAGATAAATCTCTTATTCTACAGTTGCATACCATTGAACTAACTCCAGATTAGGTTGTACAAATTCCGGAATCGCATCTTATACTTAAATTATATAGATTTCAATTTTAACCGGACTTATTCAGGGTAACAAAAAATTAATCCGATTACTTTCATACTTCACCGGACTAATCCATTATTAAATAATTGCATACAATCAGACTAATTCCGGATTCGGTCAAAGTGATTTCGGATTCACTACTTCTACTTAAACCATATTGATTTTAGTTTTAACCGGACTTATTCCGGATTACAAATATCTAGTAAGAAATAACTGATTAGTTCCGGATTTGACTGGACTAATCTCAGATTTGCTAGTTGCGTACAAACGGACTAATTTCGGATTAGACCAAACTATATTTGGCTTACTTGAGGTAAGCTTATCCCAACCTTTACTTGTAGGGTTACCACATACTTTACATGTAACCTTACCTTCATGGCGGAAGTGTTGAGTTCACCTTATGTCTACCACAAGCATATCGCTTAACCTTACAAACTATACGTATAACATAGGCCGTTTCCGAATTGAGATTTTTAATGCATTCTTCAAGTTTTTCTTCCTCATTATCGGTAAGTTGAGAGACATAAGATATGTATCTTTTCAATTTTAAAAGTATTAATCAAAATGTTATATTCCGATTGAAAACGTTAAAAACAAATGCGCATTCATAAAATATCTGATTCACTAGAAGGTGCATTTAATAAGTTTTTTTTCCTGGGTACTTAATAAAGTGTATACTAGGGAAGTATGCAGTGTCTTTGTTTTCCCGTGCGAAACAAAGGACACTGCATACTTCCCTAATATACACTTTATCAAAAATGCTCTAAAAATCCAAATTCGGAAAGGGCCATGTGAGTAGATTTGATCCTCTTGTTTTTTGTGCGTAAGACAAGGACAAGTGTATACTTTGCAAGTATATAGTTACAAAGAATGTTAGATAGAAAACATATGATGTTTTTTGTTTCACATTTTAAGGTATTTCCACTTCATGAGTTACCAGCCTTGGAAAAATTACAAAAAACCTGGGTCCAGGCATTTATGAGTCCTCAACCCCTGGATGATATTTGTAAATATTTTGGAGTAAAAATTACTATGTATTTTGCATGGCTAGGACACTACACTACCGCACTAATTGTTCCAGCAGCAGTGGGTGTCATATATTGGGTAAGATATCAAGTGACTAAAAAGGCCGTTGCAGTATAAGCATCAAAAAAGTGCCCTCGTAAGAATCAGGTCCATATTTGGGGAATAATTTAGTCCTATGATAAAACTTATTTTCACCATGTTTTAACTCAAAAAAATTTTTTTGTTTGTTTTTCAGTTACATGCTTTTTTAATAAATTCAAAAATTTTGTTTCCTTCCGAAATGGCTGAATCGATTTTCATTTAAATATACATATATGTTGTACAACATATCAAGACAGTTTATAAAAAAGATTTGCGGGCAAAATCTCGCACATGAGGGGACTAAATTTTTTTTTAACTTAAAACAATTTTGTTATCTAAATTTTTTTTACACCACCACCACATTTTTTCTACAAAACAGTTGTCACTGAAAACAAAATATATATGTTTGTTAAGATGATTGAAAGAGGTTTTTTTAAAATTCAAATTTCGTTAAAAAGTTAATAATTTATATATATTTATTGTAAACATTCATTTTTCAATCAATTTTTTGCAAACGGGATTAGTTTGGCGAATATCTTACGAATATTCATACAAGGGCACTTTTTTCATACAGATCATGCTATTGCCTTTTGGGTGCAAATTAAAAATACGTCTTATTTTCCAGACGCATGAGTTTTCACTATAAATTTCAAATGACCTAATACTTAATTAACCCATTATCACCCATGCTTAGACACAGAAATATCAGAAAAGTCAATATCCCATTACCATCCAAATGCACAAAATTTTAAGCCAAGACCATATATTTACGTATTTTAGTGTGCTCTATACAAATATGACATCAAAAATTGTGTAACAAAATTTTTCATATTATTTTTTAAACAATAATTGTAAAATTGTTCGATTTTTTCCTGACTTTTTATAAAAAAATTTAATAATTTTAAAGAAAAACATTTTTTTATAAGGCTAAAAAAATGTTATGCAATTCGCTTGCAAATGGATACCAGGAGCTTTTCGGGGTCGCTGGTTACAAATCCGATGACAGTTTTTCAAAATTCAAAGCGACCGAACATTTTATAGGCATAGCTTTGCATAGACAAGGAAATGGAATGCAGTATGCAAAAAAGACATGATAGAAAACATGTTATATAAAAAAAATCTTAAATTTATTGATTATTATACAATTCTATACTACTTTTTTAAGGTCGGCATCATTGGTAGAAATCAAGCGGTGGAGGATGTAGCATATGTCCTATTTTCTATATTTAACGTGATTTGGGCAACCGTGTACTTGGAGGCTTGGAAGAGAAGAGGAGCAGAATTAGCATACAGATGGGGTACACTTGACCAGAGGGATGATTTATTACTAGAACCGAGATCTCTTTTCAGAGTAAGATTAATTTTCTTATATATGTTCATTCATGTTAACCAAAGAAATCAAGTTCACGAGTCCATGTTCCTGTACTTGTTTAAGATCGTGCGTAAGTCCATGAACATAATCTTGTGTTAATTATTTACAAATTTGTGGAAAATTTAAACATTGGTCATAAAGTCTCTTTGTTAGTTCATGCGAAAGCAACTGCGCAGCTTTATAAGCCATAGAAAAATACTGCGCAGCCATTAAAGATTTTGATTATAAACTGTAAGAGCAACTTAAGATCTTATACATGATCTTGTTCTCGTACACGTGCACGGATTCGTGTAGTGGATTTCATCAGTTGACATAAATATGAACATGTGCATGTTCTTGCACATGTTCTTGTACAAGATCGTTCTTACAATTCTTTTTACATGTTCACTTGCTGCTCTTGTACATGACGTGGTGAATGAACATGTGCAAGATCGGTGTATGATCATGTACAAGATCATGTTCACGATCCTGTACAAGTTTTTTTAACCAAGTAGGTACTGATTTGATGGTAAGGATCCCATATAAATCCTCATGGGAAATTGGGACAGGAATTGGCATAGAAAATATCAAAAAAAGGTTCCTCATTTCCCATGTCATTTCCTATGTCAAATCCCACGTCAAATATCATGTTAAATACCATGTTAAATACTAATTGAGATCCTTTATCATTTTTTTGAAAAATTTTCCCATGTCAAACTACACGTCATTTCCCAAGTAAAAACCTTCATTATTTATTTGAAAAATTTTCCCGTCATTTCCCATATCATTTTCCATGTGAAATCCTTTATCATTTTTTTGAAAAATTTTCCCATGTCAAATCCTCTTTCGCCTTATCGAAAATACCCACATGGGAAAGCATATGGGAATCCACATGGGACACCATATGGGAATCCATATGGAAAATGGAATACGATTTCATGTGCATTCTTCCAAATGATAAAACAAATAGATTTAAGCATAGGAAATCATATAAGATTTCATATAGATTCTGAAATCTCAACCTAAGATTTCACATGGATTTACATATAGGAAACGATATAGGATTTTATTCGGGAATTTTTTAGTTGGCTGCTTTATGCAGGCGGCAGTTTACAAAAAAATTAATTATTTGATTAAATATCAAATAATAATAATGCAACTCATCTGAAAATAAAAAAAAGTTTACTTTACTTCTGCCTTAGACTGTCAGCTTTTATAGTATTTCAGACTGATCTCAACTGTGAGAGAAAATATTTTCACCATCTGGTGGCGAAACAATGAAACTATAATGACAATCAACATCTATATTGAAATTTCCTATGTCATTTCCCATGTCATTTCCCATGTGAAATCCTTTATCATTTTTCGTAAAATTTTTCCATGTCATTTCCCATGTAAAATCTTTTATCATTTTTTCGAAAAATTTTCCAATGTCATTTCCTATGTCATTTCCCATGTCATTTCCCATGTGAAATTTTTTATTATTTTTTCGAAAAATTTTCCCATATCAATTCTCACGTCAAACCCCATGTCATTTCCCATGTGAAATCCTTTATCGTATTCCATTTCCTCTGTGAATTCCTATATGGTTTCCCATGTGGATTCCATGTGGGTATTTTCGATAAGGCGAAAGAGGATTTGACATGGGAAAATTTTTCAAAAAAATGATAAAGGATTTCACATGGGAAATGATATGGGAAATGACATGGGAAAATTTTTCAAAAAAATGATAAAGGTTTTTACTTGGGAAATGACGTGGGGTTTGACATGGGAAAATTTTTCAAAAAAATGATAAAGGATCTCAATTAGTATTTAACATGGTATTTAACATGATATTTGACGTGGGATTTGACATAGGAAATGACATGGGAAATGAGGAACCTTTTTTTGATATTTTCCTATGCCAATTCCTGTCCCAATTTCCCATGAGGATTTATATGGGATCCCATTTGGTTTCCCATATGGGAATGGGATTTTACATAGGGTCCCATGTGGTTTCCCATGTGGGGATTTTCAATAGGAAAATAAAGAAAATATACCAGTCTGCGCTATGATAAAGCAGCGCTACGTAGCGCCGGCGTTTAAAGAAATCGCATTGCTGGGCCGTTTTCGAATTGAGATTTTCAGCGCATACTTGATAAAGTGTATTCTAGGGAATTATGTACTGAAAATCTCAAATGGAAAACGGCCTTGGCCTGCAAGCACAGATATAATATAAATAGAGTAGGTAACGTATAGGCGGTAGCGTGTGGAGCAACTGTCTTGACATAAGCAGAATTGGTTGGAGAGAGATAAGAAAATTTAACATCAATATCTGTCTTTCAATGAGCAGCAGCGCAACACAGTGAGCAAAAAACCATGTTGGTTTAAAAAACGTTTTAAGAACATTTCATGTCTGCCAAATAATGTTCAAGAACATTATTTGAACATCTATTGTTCTTAAAATGTTTCAGAACATTATTTGGCAGACATGAAACGTTCTAAGAACGTTTTTAAACCAACATGGTTTTTTGCCCTCTGGGAAGAGATACGCCTACTGGTGTTAATATCGTCTTCTATTAAACGGGCGCCTTCATACAGACCATCCCTACTTTATTTATATTATTAATATAAATTAATAAAATATTTTAAGCTTTTGATCAAAACTATATAAAATTACTTTGAAAAATGAGGGAAACATGGAGATTATTTGTAACAAATTGACTTTTTTATTTATATTGTTTTATTGTATTTAAAACAACTTGAAATATAACAACGTTCAGCAATAATTGAGTGCAGGTGTGTTATAACATGTCTACACACTTTAATAGATCAAACAGAACTCTGATATTGTTATTTACTTGTTATTAACAGGGAACCTTATCAATTTCACCAGTGACGGGAAGATTAGAACCAAATTATCCACGATGGAGGAGAAATGTTTTTCGTTACTTTATTAGCGTGCCTATCATTGCAGTCTGCCTGTTTGTCGTTTTCATTGTAATGATTCTTAGTTTTCAAATACAGGTAAGATAATTTATTAACAATTAACTTCATAAAATTTCATGACAATACTAATATTGTTTTAATATTGTAATAAAACATTCGGAAACTTACACGACAAATAAAATCAATATTCCCTGTCAGATTCGACATATATATACTCAGTACCGACGGTAAAAGAAACAAAGTCATTTAGAAGGTTAATTTTCGTGAAAAATGTTATGAGAAGGTTTAACACTAGAACTACCGAAGATCCTGCATACCTAGAACTACCACCGGTACATTTTGTCCCATTATTCATTTATGTTTTTTTAATTAACATTTACAAGTTAGAAAAATAAAATGATACATGATTTCCATAGGTTTTTTTACGTATAGATTACGAATCCGAAGTCGGAAATACTCCAGCATTTTAATTTTTCACTAAAAAATATGTTTGAGTGATAAAAAACAGCGTTTTTTATGTTAACTTTAGAGCAATATAGAAAATTATCCCGAAAAGTTGCAAACTTCCGGTAGGCCTTAAAATAATAAATAAACCTTCAACAATAAATTATGTATATGAAAAATCCAAAACTTTAAATCAGATTTTGCCAAAAACGATTTTTTTGATGAGCGCGTTTCACCAGCAGTTTCATACACTAACCGTCCGCTGCGCTGCTTCCCATGTAGATATGTATCAAAAACGCTTGTCTTGTAAATATTAATATAGGCAATTAGAATACAAAATAATCATAATTCCACACACAGAAAAAACTTGGACTCATTTTTTTGCAACTCATTTTCTTTTGGGTATCGAAATGAATATGGGACAAACTTCATGTTATTCAAAATGATATTGGCTGGAATTTCAGATTTCTAAGTTGGCATCATAAGCAGAGTAATTTTGTATTTCAATTATTGATTCTAATATTTCAACAACACCAGAAAGATTATTTTGACCAGTACGAATATTTAGAAGTTTTTAAATAAAAATTATTTATTATTATTTACGTAGATAATAATTAATTTCATAAGTTTTTAAATTTACCGCTATTATTTAAGTTGGCAGTACCGTTCCTGTTGTCAAAACACATGTTTTCATTTTTCTAACCTAAAAACATATTTCCTTTATTATTTTATTACGCGATTACAAGCAATTTTTAATCAAATATATTAAGTCTAGCGTGTTATTTACTTCTTTGTAATTATTATATTTCATGTTTTTGTGCAAAATTATTCGTTATTTCACAATATTTTTCGATTTTTCTTTTTCTCAAAATGAAACTTGCCTGTTTCATTTTGATACTTTTACCTTAGAACTCGAAATGAAACAACCAGTTTCATTTTTGTTGCGAATCAAATTGAGTATAGAATCTATACTCAATTTGAATTCAGGTTTTTTCTGTGCATATATTATCATTGTTCATATTTTCTATTAACTGTAATAATGATAAAAATCTGAAATTTGGTATAATGATTAAACTCAACAAAAAAAATAAAAGTCAGAAAATTTCAGCCCTCTACCTAGACATTAACGAAAGATATTTTTTGTAGTGAAAATACATATTTTTAACTTTCCAAAAAAAATCAAAATTCACTGTTAATTAAATTATCCAAAATCGTCACCTATATAAAAGAAAAGTTACAAGTCATACGAACACACTCACATAAATAAAAATCATTAAAATAATTTAAAATTTTTTTCTGATCCTTAAAAAATAATTTTTTTGGAAAAATTTCAAAATCAGAAACTTCTGTAAATGAACAGCTACGATTTTTGGGTTAAGTTTTCTCGTTTCAGGGGTTGCTAAGGTTCTAGTAGGTAACAATGATTTTTCTTATCATCGTAGGTGAACTTTTTTTTATTCCAGACACCTGTGGGGATAGTAGTAGGGTCAATTCATGCAAAAATTGCTCTATATAAAGCTATAAATAATTAATATCTACCTAAAATGTACATGCATCAATACCTGTTGCATATTTAAGTAATATTATTTAAAGCATTATTTTTTTTAATTCTTGCATAAATTGACTCTACAACTATCCCTTTAACCTTCTCATAACTTTTTCATAATATTTCACCTTTTAAAGGACTTTTTTTTACTTGTGCCTAATCTCCATCGGACTAGGTGCACCTAGCCCGATGGAGATTGTCCATGGACATTAAGTACATCGAATCTGCCACGGTTACAACAATATATTGTGATGAAAAAATAAAATTTATGAACTAACGCTATTTCAGGAATGGTGGGATAAAAAATTAGGAACTTCAGGATACTGTTTTTGGCTAACCTATGTTCCAAAAGTATTACTTGCAGTTGTAATTGCCCTTATGGATGAGGCCTATTTCAAAGTCGCTGTTTGGCTAAATGATTTAGGTATAATTTTTATTCTCTTTCTAGAACTAAATTATCAACAGAAATTATTTATAATAGCAATAGTATAAAGATTTTTAAATACACTTATAAATTAAAATCCTATTGAATATAAATTTCTATTGATAATGAGGCGTACATAAAATTTAAAGAAAAAATAATTTTTCTACTATTTATTAGTAAGCATTGATAAAATCACAAGTTCGAAGCTCTTTTATAATTAAATATAAGGGAAATATAGGATAAGACAAATAAGAGAAAGAATGAGATAGTATGAACTAGACGTGAAAAAGTAGATTATGTTTTTTACAAGCGAAGAAGAAGTGAAGATTTAGCTAGCATCAAATAAGTAGAGTGAAAGTAGACAATGAAAAAAACTAAATTTTTATGAGTAAAATTGAATATTTAAATTTCACCTCCATTCATACTGCACACCATTTTTGTGCCTTTTTGAGTAACTGACGTACATTATGCCGTATTGTAAATTCCCATATGAGGTTCCGTATATGATCACTTATGGTTTCTCATATGTGACCGTCCACGACAAAACAAGGCTTAGCTCTCAAAAGTAAATTTCACAGGGCAAGCGATTGAAGTAGAAGCAGAAACAAGGAACACGCTTGACATGCCCATCTTTAGAACGTTATATTGTCAAAAGTAATTGACATAAACAATTTCTAACTTTTGCATGTAAAAGAGCAACTTAAAATCTATCGATTAGCATCAAAAACTCAAAATTGATTTTTTGGGAGCTAAGCCTTGTTTTGTCGTAGACGGTCACATATGAGATACTACATGAGATCTCACATAGAATCCCATATGGGAATATGTAGTAGTTATTTAAAAAAAATAACACATATTTTAGGATTTAGACATAAAATATTTTTGATTTATATAAAAGAATTCAAAATTTTGTCCGATTTTGCGTATCTCTTACCGTTTTTGAGATATTCTAAAATTTTATTTTTCAAATTTCGACCCTATATGGGATCCTGTATAGACACTGATGAGATTCTTCTTACGAGATGTCCTTATAAGATTTCGTATAGAATCTCATATAAGAAACCATAAGCGATCTTATAAAGGATCTAAAGAGGAATTAACAGTAGGGTGTACAGCGTTTATGCCAAACATTATGTCTGATGACTTGAATACTAAACAATGCGCCTTGACTTTTTGATTGTAGACAGTCAGGAACGGTTCTATAAAGGATACCGCAAAAATTACAAATTTTACATTTTAACTTTGGTGCTCTCTAAAAACAATAAATTATAATTTAAAATATAAACAAAAATTGTTCCGTTTAGTTAAAATATTACATTTTTAAGTATAAACAGTTTTTTTTTTAATTTAGAATAAAATTGGGTAAAAAAGATAGTACAGATGTGCCCATTTTTCGCCTTCGCAAACGCAAGTATGCCTGAATTTGTCAAAAATGATATGATATAATATAATAATCCTGACGGATTACCTCAATTAATTTCTCAGTATTTATTCTTTTTTTCAACATACCCCAGTGGGCAAAAACATGTTCGTTCTAAAAACGTTTAGAGAACCTTTTTGAAAAGAACATTATTTTTTGCTACTGGGACTGTATTATTAGTTGCAATATTTTGGTTCTATAATTTAAACTCAAATGATATATTATTAATATACATTAGAAAATATATAATAAATTTGTATTGATAAATGTTAATCACGCAATTAAAATCTTTGTATAAGATCTAATACATCATAAGTCCCAATAAGAAATAAACCATTGGTTCCCAGGTGCGAATTTAGGTCGGCAGCCATAGTTGGTACGTCGGGCCTTGGTCGGTCCATCTATGGCTGCCGAAACCTTGGCAGCCAAAGTTGGCCCGACTTTGGTTCCTACTTTCACCCAAAGTTGGACCGACTGTGATTGCCAAAGTTCAAAAAACCTAATTCTAAAAGGTCGGGCCGACTCTGGCCAAAGACGGGCCGATGGTCGGCAGAACTATGGCAGCCAAAGTTCAAAAACCCTAATTCTAAAAGGTCGGGCCGACTCTGGCCAAAGACGGGCCGATGGTCGGCAGAACTATGGCAGCCAAAGTTCAAAAACCCTAATTCTAAAAGGTCGGGCCGACTCTGGCTAAAGACGGGCCGATAGTCGGCAGAACTATGGCAGCCAAAATTCAAAAACCCTAATTCTAAAAGGTCGGGCCAATGGTTGTCGGCAGTCGGTATATATCAAGATTATTGTGGATGGACTTTGTCATGAATAATTTTGTTTTTATTCAGTTTAATATTCTATAATTTTATGTAAGTCGGCCAATTAGTGGCCCACAGTTGGACCGACCATTATCAAGTAGATTTCAATATTACCATAATCAAAATAAAAAATTTTAAGTTTTAATCGATTTAGCTGTAATTGATTTACTGTAAAGTTAGAAAGGTTATCTCATTCATTTATCGTTATAAATTACAAATTTAATTTTTTTTTAATTGCACCTTATAAAATTATTTTTGTTCTTAAGTTCCCATGCGAGCGTAGCGTAGTGGTTAGCGTATTAATCTTCGGTGCGTTAGGTTGCGAGTTCGATCCCAGTAAGCGTTAGTTATTTTAAATATGTATGTATAAGATTGCATTTAATGTTAAGATGTAAACAACACATAAATTATGAATTTAAGATAATACCCTATGTATATTAATTGTAGAAATAAATAATCATTTTTTAAACTTTTCTCCGAAGGTCGGCCAAACATTGGCGCCCATAGATGGCCCGACTTTGGTAACGATAGTCGGTCCAACTTTGTCAGCTATTGGTTGGCGGCCGTTATCAATTCGCTAGTTCGTCCGACCTTTGGTTGCCAAAGTTGGTACGACCATTCACAAGGTTGGCCCAACCATGGCCCGACCGACAATTCGCACCTGGGTTTAATAATGACCTAACATTGGGAGCCAGTCGTTCCAATATTGGTGGAATGATGGCACCCAATATTGGACCGCGAATGGTAAAATCTTGGGATGATCACGCCGTTGCCAATCAGTGGTAGCCAATATTGTTCCATCATTGGCTACCACGGCAAAAAACGGATTCTCAAAAGCTTGCGGTTATTAATTGGCTACAAAGATTAGGCTAATATTGGAAGCCAATCATTGATTATCAACAATGGTCCAATCTTAGTGGCCAATTACACAGGCACACAAAAAATAAAAAGCTGTTTGGCCGAGACACTAGTTGCCATGACAACTCCTGCAGGCAGGCAGGCAGCTAAAAGGTGTGAGTGCGCCCTTATAGTGTGAGAGTAACACCTTGATTGTGAGTGGAAACGACTACCACATACCCTATACGCCACTTTTCTGAATTATTGTCGAGCGCGCATCTTTCTACGCAGCGCGGGAATCTTTAAATGTGATTTCAAACATTGTGCGAAAGATTTAATAATTTTTTATTACAATACATTTAAAAAAATTAATATAATTAAAAAAATTAAATTAAATTTTTAAAAAATATTTATTATAATAATAAAAATTATTTTATTTAATCTAATTGTTACGTATGAATTTCGTAACTTCTTATTAATAAATTATTAATATTATTAATAATTCATTAATACAATACTTGAAAAAGAGAACACATTATGAAACACAAAACAAATAACACATTATAAACATTATTCGAAATGCCTTTAGAATTTCTTAGAGCTGTTCAAATAATTATATATTAAACTAGCTTTCGTACCCGCCTTCGGCGGGAGCGAAATCTAGTGGTGTGCGTCCAACAGTATTTTCGTTCAAATAATTTTTTGTATAGATAGTTGATTGTTATTAAAAACTTGAACTAATAATTTTACAAATTTGTAAAATTTTAAAATTGTTGAAAATTTTAAATCTAAAAAACACATACTAAAAATATACTAACCTTTTATTTTTCTTTATCAACTTCGTAATTAATGATTTCAAATGTTTTGAATCTCTAACAGATTACCATGATTAATTTGATTTCGTTTAAGCCTTGTTTTGATAATTCTCGAACCAAATTTTTCAAACAGCATCATTATTCTATTACCTTTTTTCATTTTTAGATTCTTTATTTCTTAAAAAGAAACATTATTTAAGAAGTTTTATGTTCTAAGCTATATATACAAATAGACTGGTGTTTAGCCAATTTCATTGAAACTAATTTGATCATTTTCTTTCTGTTTCAAATTTATTTAAATTAAATATATATATATATAAAATATATATATATGCTTATATAAAAGCATTTCAATGATATTGTTTTTTAATTCTAAAGTTAAAATTTGATTAATTGGACTCAAAAACGTAGCTAAAAAAGGTTTAGTAAAATATAACAGAAATTAAATTTAAAAAATTTGATTTTTGGAATTTTTCTTCACAATTTCAAATATATCAGTTATTTTCTCAATTTTAAGGTAAAAATGCGATTAATTAACCTCAAAAAACTTTTAAAAAAAAGTCTAGTAAAAATAAGCGAAAAAATTTTAAAATTTCGAGTTTTACAAAAAGTGACATAACTTCCGTTCAAGTTAATATTTTTTAATGGGGTATGGCTAAGATTTTAAGTTAGTCTAATACCTAAAAGACTGACAAGTTTCACTTAAATCGTTTAAGCCGTTTATGCGTGATTGGCGAACAAAATTTTGTGCAGACAGACAGACAGACAGAATTTTTTTTAATGCTATTTTTAGAATTCTTATGACTTGAAACGAAGAATTATACATGAATTTTTAAGTTCTAAGCAATGTACAGACAAAAGTCTAATTTTATTAATATAGATAGATATTAACTTTCAATTAATAACCTATATTTTAAGGAAGACCTATTTAACTTTCATGAGAAAATTGAGAAACTAAGTGATTTAATCGGATTTAATTTAATACAAGAAACAAAGGGTGATGCAATAAAGATTGCTGCATCCGAGGTATATTCATTCAAACTGAACTGGAACACTACCCCGAAATTGCAAAGGTTGCAATAAAAACATTGACAACAATAAATTTGTTAAATAAAATAT